GTCTTTCTGCGTAGCTTTTGACAGAACCTGGAGCTTTGACATTAAATCCTAAAATTATAGCTTCACTAGCAACAGCAAGATCAACATCGCTGTTGCTTACATCTCCTGTAGCTTGCAAGAGGAACTTCAAAGTGACATTATCTCGAGGGAGCACTTGTAAAGCTTGCCTGATAGCTTCAATAGATCCCTATTTATAATAAAGAGAAACTAATTTTACTTGCACTTAAAGTATGAAGTTTAAACCATATTATGATCAAATGCCATGAATTTTGTCAAAAAACCTCAGAGCAACAGAACAATATTTTGATGAAGGCATGAATGTGCATGCATGCACAGCTGTGCCTAGCCATCCCCGTGAAGCAATCAAGCAAAAAAATGCATTGCTATTATTGAGAAATTTTGATTTTGCCTATAGCAAGATTCAGCAGCATTTCCTAGCATGAGTAAATGATTTTCACTGCACATTTTTAAACACCCAATTTTCTCATACACCAATTTTCCATAGAAATTGGTGGTTGGTGATCGATACATAACTTCAAAGCCCAATTACAAGTAATCATCATAGATTTCGAGGGCATTTGGTACAGCTATAAACTTATTTTTACCTTTAAATTCTGGAATTAAAAATAAAAAGTTTATCTATAAGTAACTCATAAAAATTGATCCAAATTCTGCCTCAAACAGAAGTCAGTAAACCTTTACTTTCACTCAAAACATATTAAATCAGAGGGACATGAAGAGAGAGTTGAAGCATTTTTTTTTTTAATAGAATCAGAGACATACATTTGTTCAACTTAAAAGAATTTTACCAAAGTAACTTGTGGAAAGCACCTTTTTAGTTATAAAACAAAGTCATATAGTCAAACCAAATGGCTTGTTGGAGCATCTTTCACATTCTTTATTATAAGATAGATTCAAATTTGTTTTTGTGCATCCATATTACCACCTATTAAATGATCTATTCATGAAATGGATCTAGAGAATTAATACCTAGATTTGAAATGCATCACATGAGTGAAAGCAAGTAAAATAAAAAAGTCAATATCACAAATTTGCCAACACAACTTGATTTCAACAGAAGACGCAATAGTGAAAAAGAAAACGTCATGAGAATTGCTTTTATATGGATATGGTAAAACGCGAAGCAAATGCACATACCTGAAGATCGACTTTCATTATTATATTCAGCTGGTGCAAGTCTAATCCAGAGACCTTTCCTGCGGAGACAGCCGAAGCTAAGGAAGAAAGGGTCACCTTCCCATCTCCAGCCTTGGCCGATATGCGTTCATTCCATAATGATTCTGCACGTTTCTCTGCCTTTTCACGAGCAATATCAAGGGAGGCAACAACCTCAAATTCATCACCAGCAATTGGTACATTACTCAAACCAATAACCTGTAAAGAACAGTGTAACGTATTTGCAAGATTATTTTCAAATGAAGACTTGTATGAATTAGTCATGTGAGAAAGAATCACACAAATAGATAGGGATCCATGAACCATAAAACATAATATAAAAAGAAAAAAATGGGGATTAGTTTATTGTTGTAATCACCTGAGCAAACCATGTACAAGTACTTTTTCAAATGGGAATTGAGCTGGATCCCCAGAATTCTAACTGTTTCAATAATACCAACATACAGGGGGTTTCTGTATTTATAGTCAATTAAATTTTCATGCTTATCCTAATTACTAGTTTAGTTGATGCATGGCAAAGGAGCATTATAATGGTTTTTGATCTTGAAAATTCCAACAATAATGAAAGAAACAAGAAAAAAGAATCACAGCTACATTCTTTTTTTATGAAAAAGGCCCACACAAAAATAAGTGACATATAATACAGCATGTACGCAAACAAAGATAAACAAGGAAAAAGAATAACAACAAACCTGTACAGGCATAGATGGTCCAGCTTCATCAACTCGTTTTCCACCATCATCAAATAAAGCCCGCACCTGAAAATGGCATAACAAAGAAATCCTCCAAGGTGGGTGAGCATTTCAAAATTAACATTTAAATCACATTAGGCTGCAGGTATTTTCTTAAAGAACGTTATGAGTTTTTCTTTTGAAATTCAAACTCTAACTAACAAACCTTTCCAAAGGCTTGTCCACAAACCACTACATCCCCTCTTTTCAGGGTGCCATTCTGTACAATAAACGTTGCTACTGGCCCTTTAGATTTATCAAGACCTGCTTCAATAACAGTGCCCTTTGCATTTCTATCTGGATTAGCCTTCAATTCTTGTAACTGAAACAATCATGCATGAAGTCAGAAAACATAAATAGCACGCTGTTAAATGCATGCTACATCCCATTCATTCCAGGGAATCATGATGGCTTTGAATTGATGAATTGTATTGTGTATCTAGGTTTTGTGGCTGATATCTAATGTAGTTTTGGGAGAGAGTACACATTAATATGCCTGTATGCATCTTTGACTGTCCCCTGAGTGCTTGTTAAATCACACACTTCATATTCAATTTTCTAAAGGATCCAGCAAGAGAAATTTCAAGGGACAATTACAAGATAACGCATTTATTGGGGAACAAAAGTTATTCTTCTCATTACATATACTGCAACTACTACTACCACTACTACTACTACTACTACTACAAAATTCCTAGCAATTAATTAGATTGATGAAATATTTGTCTGACAAGCCAAGCAGACAGAGGATCCCGCATTTTCTCTCTCTGCCCTGATTAAAAAGCTACAGCAAGCTACTCAACTAATTAAATATATAATGCAAGATATCACTTAACAATATTCCTAGCAGAGGGAGAGAGAACTACAACCATCTGGAAAATAAGTTCATGGATCCAATTTTGACCACCCAAATGGCCAATGGACTATGATTATTTCATTGCACGAGAAAAAAAAAAATTGGAAGAGCTAGTAGGAGTGCCAATAAATTTAACTGACCTCTGCCACAAGCATAACAGTTTCCAACAAATCATCTATATTTTCCCCCTTGAGAGCGCTTATCTGTTAAAAGGAGTCACAAAAATATAAGCGTCTACAGAAGGATAAAGCAAAAAAGAAAGTTGCAATAAATTAAAAATACCTGAACCATTGGGACATCACCACCCCAGTCCTCTGGCATGAGACCAATAGAAGAGAGCTCTTGCATGACTCTTTCTGGATTGGCTCCATCTTTATCTATCTGGTTGAATTGAAGAAAAAACAGGGTCAGAAAGTCATGCCAACACCACCCAAACCAAAGGTATTTCGAAATGCAGCTGGGCGAGTGTTTCTTCCTTTGTTTCTTTCTGAAAACAACAAAACCCACTTTTTTTTCTGACATACCTTATTTATTGTGATTACAATGGGCACTCCAGCTGCTTTGGCGTGAGCTATGGCCTCCATAGTCTGAGGACGAATCCCATCATCAGCAGCCACCACAATAATAGCAATGTCAGTCACCCTTGCTCCACGGGCTCTCATTGCTCCAAATGCCTGCGGCAGCAGATAAAATAGAAATTATCTACATAAAAGGCAAGCGTGTTCGGTTCCCAGATAAGTTTATAAAATCATCTAAGAAGAACATTAGCTGATTAAACAAAGATTAGTGGACATCAGACATGATCAGCAAAGTATTTACCTATTTGGCAATAAACAATTGTAGCTAACAGTAATTGGATAACATGCTTACCTCGTGCCCAGGAGTATCAAGGAAAACACATGGTTGCAACTTGCCATCCACAGGTATCAAAACTTTATATGCTCCAATTCCTTGTGTGATCCCACCAGCTTCTGAGGCAGCCACCTGTAAATTTCCATCTGTCAGGCTACAGTTAAATCATGTGCATGCCATGTTAGAACAGTGGACATATAGCTTCAGAAACCAATCAATCCCAAATCAATTTGAGGTTTACAGGTTAGACATCCTACATCTTCCTCCTATCACAAGTACACCGCCAGAAAAAAAAAAAAAAAAAAACCTTTATTGCAATGGAAGTGGGAAATAGCACGGAAAACATGTCATAACTTAAATCCATAAGACCTTCAATGAAGAAGCTTAACATACCTTGCTTTTACGAATATGATCCAAAAGGGTTGTCTGTCATGAGGATAACACCAGATACATTAGAAAAGTCTTTAAAAGTACCACCATTCTTTTAAGATTCAAATCAAAATCAAGAATGAGACAGAGAAGATAATGCAGACACATCTGATTTCTAAGATGAAGAGATAGAGAATGTTGCTGCTTGCCTTGCCATGGTCTACATGACCCATTATAGTAAGGACAGGAGGCCTCTCTTGTAGTTTGTCCAGGTCGTCTTCATCAAGCATTTCATTCTTTTTTGCCATTTCTTCAAATTTTACTGGATCAGCATCTATGACCTCCACCTCATGCTCCTTACATATCATCTTTACCATGTCTTTGTCCAAAGTTTGCACCCCATCAGGCTTAATCCCCTTTGAGTACAGAAACCCAAGAATTTCACCTTCACTGATTGTCAAATTGTAGGCTAGCTCTTCAATTGACATACCTTTTTCCCCAACCTCTAAAATCTCTACTTTGACAGGAGCTGCATCTCTGGCAGCCTGGAGTTTAGCTGCCTTCCTACTGGCTTTTGTCCATTTCCTCCCTTTTCTCCCGGTAGCTGCACCGGGAATAGAAACATTGAGCTCCTCATCAGGAATCTCAACATCATCATCCACCATCCGCCTTCTTGGTGTTCCAGGTGAAATACTTTTCTTTCGGTCTCTGTACTTCCCAGGAGCAGGGCCCTTTCCTGGTTTTATAGGGGCTAATACAGCCTGTGCAATCACAGGGTCAACAACCGGCTTCTTGCGTGCAAATTTGTCAACCAAAATTGGCTGTCCTTTAATTTTCGGAGCTCTTGAGCCAGTTTCATCTTTAACTGGAGACTTTGGAGCAGCCCCCACATCCTTCAAAATAACAGGCTTCTTTATCATAGGTGGAGGAGCTACAGATGGCTTGCCCTGTAACTTTGGTTGAGGTCTTAGAGGTGGCTGAGGAGGCTTCAATGGTACAGTTGATTGAGATTCTAGCTTTGCTCCTTCTACCGTTTTAGGTTCCCTTTTGATAACCCTATTACTAGCCTTTGGAACTTCCTTGACAACCTTCGGCAATGCAGCCACAGAGTCTCCTTTCCGCCACACACTTTTTAAAGTTTTAGTTTTCATGTTAGTAGCCGATGAATTAACATTTCTCGAATCATTACCCACATTAGGTGAAGTCATTTTATTTACAAACCCATTCTGTTTCCTATTACCACTAGCACTACCACCCACTTGGCTCAGTTTTGAAGTTTCAAGCTTTTCAGCTTTCTCCAAAACCTCACCAAGTGACTCGATCACCTTATTCCTCTCTCCTTCCTCCTCATCCGACCTTTCACCATCAGAATCCCCACTAGCACTTGAAGAACCCCACCCAACAGAATTCATACTCAAAGGGGTTTCATCCTTAGAACCAGCTGGAGATTTTAACACAGGCTTTGGAGCAGGCTTAAGCACAACCTCACTATCACCATCACTTCCTCCTTTAATTGTACTACTACTAGAATCAAGTGAAACAGCATTGCCTTGCTCAGCAATGAAATCAGTGGTAGTAATTGAATATTTACACACACAATCCCATCTTTTAGCCCTCCCAAGACTCCTTTTTGATAAAGAAATTCTCTTTAAAACTGAATATGAAGAAGATTCAACACAACTAGAGCTAGCTGTAGACACGTTCAAGCTCCCTAAACTCATAAGGGAAGCCAAAGATGGCATGCTACCAACTAAAACCACCATAGACCCCATTCACGAAAACCAACAAGAAACCTAAAAACACCCCTTATGATACCATATCGAGTAAATTGTATAAGGTGGGCAAAAAGTTTCAAGATTTCTTACAAAATTGAAATCTTTAATTAACAAGAAAGTGAATAATTAGTGCTTACCTTAATGAGAAAATGGGATGGGAAGATAGGGAATTTGAAGGAGTGAAATGGGTTTAGTTTTGTGTTTCGAAAAGGAGTAAGTGAGAGAAAAAATAAGTTAGAAAGTGAAGGAGAAGAATGGAGGATATTATGTTCTTGGTGGTGATGGACTAAGCTACAAAATCGGCACTTGTGTGGCTGTTTCTCAGCCTGTCAAAATTTCCTTTCCGATAAGGCTTTGAAGGTTTTCATGGTTTTTTATTCTTGCTTTATTATTTTTAAAAAAAAATTGATTTTAAATTTTTTTTTTGGGTCATTGTTTCTTATTCATTTTCTTTTTAATAAATTTAAAATCAGTTTTTTTCATGTTTTTGGTAGAGAAAAAAAAAACTGAATATTTTAAATAAACAGGTTAAAATGGTGGTTGATTTGACATAGAACCTTGTTTTTTCCATCCCTGAACTTATTTATTTATTTTTGTGATAGAGTTTTTTTTATGCCCTGAGAATTTAAATTTAAATTTATAATTCCCAATTATTTGATGGAAAATGTATCTTGAAAAATATTTTTTTGTAGTTTTTATGTATTTATTTAACATTGAAAAAGTTAGTTAATGAAAAAAATTTACGTTCAAAGAAAATTTTTAATATTTTTTTTACTTTTTTTAATATTATTATTTTAATATCTTTTAAAAATAAATTAAATAAAATTTATTTTAGATTAACTTGCTTAACTCACTTGGAATTAATCACAAGACAAATCATGTTTTATAACTATAAAACTAGTAATGCATGCGAGTTAAAAATCCAAAGATATACATTGTCATGGGAGGCAGAGATGGACCCAAAACTCTTTTTTTTTTTTTTTTTTTGGGACAAATGAGAAATTTCATCATCAAAAGGACAAAGCATACAAAGTTACCACCATGGAAACACCACAGAAATTCCACAGCTCTGGTTTTAATGGTGCCCATGATCCGATTTTCATACCCAATAAAATCTAGGCTGAGAGTATTATGTACTTCTAACTCAGTTGGGCTGGATATTTGTAATCTGTGGCATCCTTGGGCCACTAATGTGTACAAATCTTGCTCAATGTCCCTTAAGGCTTATTGCAACCTGATAAGATGCTTAATAAGACTTATTTGATCTGATAATAAGTTAATCATTTAATTATTGCAACCTGATCTATATTTTTTTAGCTAAAGTGAGTGGTAGCTTCAAATGAAAAGTCAAAATGACTAATAAAATGATGCGGTGGCTTAATGTAAAAATCCAATTATTTATAAAAAAATTATAATGATTGTTTTAAAAAAAACTATAAACTTATGTGCAAAATAATAAAAAATAAAAAAAATATTTGATAATTTATAAAGTATTTATAATTTATGAATCTAGCCATTTTTTTTAATAGAAAGAATGAAAAATAATTTTATTATGATAATATTTAAAAAAAATTATACATATATTAATAAAAAATAAATATTTCAAGATGAAAATATGGTAAATCATAAAAGATCTTGTTAATTTAAAAATATATAAAAATAAAAATCTAAAATGTATTGCTTTAATAAAAAATCACACAACATCCGTACAGGTCACCAAAAAATTTTCAAACGCAGCCCCTGAAAAATCAAGCTTGGGCCCAAAAAACTGGGCACTGCACCTAAACAAGATCAACACATTACACCCAAAGGCACTAGAAAATGGGCTCGCCTAACAATACCAATAGCACTCATGGGCATGAACTTAGCACCTGGGCTAAGCCCACTTATAGTTGAACCTACGCACCTTTCTTGAGCCCATAATTTTTCTAGGTCTTCAATAATTTTTTAACCCATTAAATTTAAGCTAAGACTTGACAAAAGAATTTTGTTTTGGAAATACGGTAAATCTTGATCCATCATGGTATCAAAACAAAAACATGGTTTCTTGAGAGATACAGGAAAGCAGATCACATGTAAATAACCACACAAAGGCAGTGAAGTGCTTCTTGGAGAAAACAAATCAACATCTCCCATACATATATAGACCAATATCATCAACCACATTCTAATCTGGGTTGTTGTTGTGCTCAGTACATGCTAGCTGCTTATGAACATGGAGAGGATATTAATACAGTGGTGGTGGCCGCCGCAGTCAGCCCTGGAAGGTGGCAATCTCAATACCCTTGCCTGGATAGGTCAGGACCGGGGAATCATATTTGCTGAAAAGTTTGTAGGACGATAAGAGTGAAAGAGCTGCATAGCAAATCACTACAACGAATGTAATGGCTATAGATATCAAGGCCTTGTGACAAAATCCACCAAATGACACACAAGCCTCACTCCAAGTTATGGCCGTGTCGCCCTTGCTTGCCAAGTACAGCACCTCCGTCGATACGGTGCCGGCGGCCAGAATTGCATAGGTTAACACCTAGGTGCATAATTAAGAATAAATTTATTAATTACTAATAGGATTCTTGTGAATTTCTGTAGTTAAGGTTGAGTAATTTTGAAGAAATTATTAGTTACCTGGTCAAGTAAGAAGAAGGTCCATGCTCGAGGCATGGTGGACGCTCGAGGCATGGCTACAATGACCGCTGAAAGAAGGGAATAGCCAGCACAAATGCCATTAACGTGCACCAAATACCTGCATCATAAATTAATCCCTTTTGTTAATTGAGTAAAACATTGTTTGCTGTCTTAAGTGAAGGAAGCTTTTTAATATGTTAGTTAAGTTCGCAGGTAAACCCTTTTGTTCTCGTTGTGATTGGCTTATGACAGAAATTCTTCTGAAAAAATCTCAACTATTGGATTTATGAGTTCCTTTTGTATGATCTAATTAATAATTTAATGCACGGGATTATTCGAAATATGATTATCAGAAAAAATATTTATAAACTTAGCATTAGGGTTAACTCAAAATTAAAAGAATTAAAGCCCCGAGTATTATATATATATATATATATATATATCCATTTTTTTAAAAAAGAAAAGTTTCCAATAAAACACAGAAATAAACTGTAAAGATTACGAAGATTAATATGCATAAAATATAGACCTGAAAGCTCCAAGATCTGAATAAGAAAGCGAGCCATAGTCATTAGTTTGAGTATTCTTAAGCATGACCACAAGTGCAGAGACACACAGAGCCATTGGCACCAAACGCAGCATAGTCTCGGCTGTTCGCGTGGTGTTTTCCACATCTTCATTCTCATCTCTTGACCCCATCATCATTGCCATGGGAGAACTTCCTTTGTCCCTCTTCTCCATCCTCTCTCTCTCTCAAAAAGCTTTGCAAGTTGCTGCGCAACGCAGTGAAGAAGAGGTGTAGCTGCTCATAATAAGGGAGTGATCATTTAAGAATATTAGGCGAAGTTGGTGACGCGCATTCAATGTCATCAAAGCAGATCACACATACCTAAGTGCATCGAGAGCAGCTCTCTTTCTCTATCTATCACACGTACCAAAGTGCATCTGTGCATGAACATCCTAATCTCCTCGGTCCTCTCTTTCTCCACAAGCAATGCAAGTGGCTGATAAATTCAAGTGATAATGTGCAAGGTCATATCTCATCTTTGTTGAACATTAAAATTGCTTTGTTTATTTATTAATTAATTAATATAAATATTTACATATTTACATATATCTGGACTGATTTCATTAATATTAAAGTTAATAATTATATAAATTTTTAGTTAACTTGATTTAAATTCTTAATTATTAGATAATAAATTCAAGATTTGATCAATTAAATTATTTTGCATGTTAAAATTGTTTTTATTTTAAGTTCTTTAAATATAATTACAGAGCATTATAATGAATCGATAATTGTGGACCTTAGGAACGAAAGTTTAGCGTTGGTTTCTGTGGGCATCAAGTTTTTTCGAGGCAAATATTGCCTAATGTATCAATATTTGACCCTCTCACTCTTTTCATAATGAAGGGCTTGAATTATGACAGCATAATACCATATAAAAAATACTTTTTAAAAAATAAATTTTATTTTTTTACTTAAAATTATTTTTTTATATTTTTAAATTAAATTACTATTTTTTTTTGTATTTAGTAACGGAGTTAATTTCATCACTAATTTCCGTCAGAAGTTCAGCTTTTTCAACAATTAATGCACACTGCACAAACCTATGTAGCTAGGCTCAGGATTGATGTATTCTTTTTGAGTAAATGTTAATAAATTAAAATGATGTGGAGCTATGAACATGGAGATTTATCATTAGAATTAATGGAGTTTCGGGATAAAACTAAGAAGAATGTCACCTCCTTCATTGTCAAAAAGGGTTTTTCTTTTTACTATATACCTTAATTAATTAAATTTTAAATTTATTTTTTAAAAATTACTAATTTAAATTTTATAATCTTTAAAATTATTAAAAATTTATATAATCATCAACTTTACAATTTTGTACACATAAAATAATTTAAATATTTATATTAATTACAAAAAAAACAACCAAAAAGTTACACCTGCTCTTGTCGTGAGTTGAGCAAGTGTAACATCAATAAATAATATCAAAAGGATCTTGACCTCACCGGGGAATCATTTGCGTAAGGAAGATACATTGCCTGATTTTGCTATGGCAGACACCATAACATCGAAAGAGAAAGGAGCAATCGCCAAAAAAAAAAAACAAAAACAAATAATACTATTATGATTTTTATTTGAATTTTAATAAAAGAAATCTATAATTATTATTATATATCTTATCTGAAAATAATAATATTAATAATACATTATTCATGGAGATTTGATTCAAATTGTATTCTTTTTATTTCTAAAATTTTTAATTCAAGTGTATTTAAAAATATATGAATAATAAAATGTCTACACGTTGTCGAAGAGCACCTCGTATGTGCATCAAACCCAGCTCTGCTAGTAATCATTCAAATCTCCCCAACAAAATTCGTGCCCGGTCTAAATTTAAAACGAGATTGTGAGAGGGCGGGTTTGATAGGATTAAAATCAAGTTTAGGAGTATAATTGTAATTATTTTTTAAAATATTTTTTAATTAAAAAAATATATTAATAATATTTTTTTTAATTTTTTAAAAATTATTTTCAAGATTAACACATTAAAATGATTTGAAAACATCAAAAATATATTAATTTAAAATAAAAAAATATATTTTTTTTAAACACTTTTAAAATATACTCCGAAACAGGCACTAAATCCACTTGTTCGATTTAAAAGAAAAATGTAAGATTGATATATAAAAAAAACATGGTTTGATAAAAAATAATTTGAGGATAATATTTTTTAAGATAATAATATATTAATTATTAATTCAAAATATAATGCATATTGAATAATATATTTTTAAAATATTAAAATGATGATAAATTAAAACAATAATATATTAGATTAATATGTATTAGATCTAATTAATCAATCAAATTCATGATCTGAATCATTAGAATGTGATAACTTTATAAAAATATAAAAAAAAAATTATAAGATTTAAATTTCAATCAACTTAACATTGGAAAAAAATTAAAAATTAAAAAATCAATAAAAAAAATAAAATTCGAGTGAACTTAAATTAATATATCAAACTCGTGATTTTAGTTATATATCCTACTATATTTAATAATTTATTTTTAATTTTTTTTTTTCCAATGTTAAATTGATTGAAATTTAAATCTTATAATTTAATCCTACTCGACTGAAAAAATAAAGATTAATGTTTTTTTTCCAAGCTAAACCAAAAAGAAAAAAGGTATGATTTCAAATCCACGTGATTGGCCTCTTAATATACCTAGGACACATGCACCATGCAAAATCCTCAGATCTTTTAGTTTTTTACCCTTTTTTTTTATCTTTTATATTAATTAAAATCCTAGTGTAAAAGTAAAATCCTTGTTTAACTAGTTAGCTAGAACCTTTATTATACTATGATAGTCATTGGTTATTTAACTAATTATTTGAATAAATGAATATATTTTCTCTATTTATTTACTTATGAATATAAAAATAAAGGATGCATCTTCCACCTCCTTATTTATGAAGGCTTTAGTGTGTGCCTGATAATGCAGTTTAAAATGTTTTGGAAAAGTGATTTTAAATTAAAAATGCTTTTTAAATGATATTTATTTATTTATTTTTTACATCAAGACAATAAAAAACATATAAAAAATCAATTTAATGCTTTTTTTAGATAAAAATAATTTTAAAAATTCTTAAAAAACAAGAAAATGTTTTTTAAAAGTGATTTTAAATTAAAAATGCTTTTTAAATGATATTTTTTTTAACATCAAGACAATAAAAAACATAAAAAAAATAATTTTAATGTTTTTTCAGATAAAAAAATAATTTTAAAAATACTTAAAAAACAAGTCAAATTATAAAAACAAAAACTCTTTTATAAACTTCATACCAGTTTGCATTTATAAATCTTAATTAGAAGTTTACTTTTTTTTTACTTCAAGATCAATTTTCATAACATGCATAGGCCATACAAAAATAAAATAATTTATATTTAATAAATAAATATAATCTTAGAAAAAACCATATATATATATATATAAAAGTAAATCCAGGAGATCCATTGAATTGGAGAATATCATTTCCACCTCTATATCCTAAATAATTTATTCACTCTGGGCCTCATATAGGCCCATATTGGTTGTAAAGGGCTCTGAGCGCATTGTATGTTAGGCCTTCCAACCTTTTCTAATCTATAAACAAAGATCATCCACTAAGACCACCGCTTCTGCCACCACCGGACCACCGCCAAATAAATCAGCGCCGTCACCCCACCCCCACCACGTCTGCTCCACATCGATAGCCTCTGACATCACCTTTCCTAAACGGTGCGCTTTTATCGCAAAGAGAATACAAAAGCAGTGACCAAGAAGACCTGTGTTTGGTTACAGAGAAAGCAAGAGAAAAGACAATGGCGTTGAATTCACAGAAATGGGGTTATGTAAGGATCATAACTGGTACAATTCTTGGTGGGGTTCTTGGGTTCTATGTTATGCACCGGGTGGAAGTCAGCTACAAGGTTAAAACTTCTTTTTCTATTTTTTGAGCTTCTGTTTGTTTACTGAGAAAGATGGAGCTTTTTGGAACTCAAAGTTGTTAAAGTGGAAAAGTTATGATTTCAGTAACATGGGGTTTGCTTGTTTTTGTTTGTTTTGTAACAGGAAAAGATGAAGGAGAGATTGAGAGAGTATGAAAAGGAATTGAAGAAGAAAGAGGAGTTGAAACAGCTCGAGGAGTCCATGTAGTTTTCCTTTCCTTTCCTTTTCTTTTTAGTTTTCTTTTTGGTTGCTGAGAAAAGGGTGGAAAGTTAAAGAAAATAGAAGTAATGTTCTACTCCATCAAAGCAATCTAATTACATGAACACCAAGAAGGTGAGAGAATTATGGATTTGTTGTTGGTTTAGCATATTGGTTGAGCTTTTGACTTTACTTGATATGGATTGTAGTTGATCACCAATATTGGGAAATTGTTGGCTTGTTTGCTGTCCATTACAACTAGGTTGTCAGCATCACTTTGATGCTTCACTGGAAGCTCTTATACCATTATGGCTGAGTAGGTGCCAGTCCAGGGTTGAAATATCAGTCTGGAGTTTTGGAAATTCTGTTATCCAGTAATTGATACGCAGAAAACTCATTGATTTGAATGTGTCTTGTTTTGAATGTGTAGAGAACTCATTGATTAATCTTGAAACTTTGTGTCAATGGACTTTCTCACGGATCAATCTGCATACCCATGAAGGTCCCAAGGAAAGAATGTTCATGGACAGATTTGGTTAACTTATTGTTATGCTTTCAAATTTTCTCAGCAATAGACTTGATGGATTAATTTTCGTAGTGATCTTTCCAACTTCTCACTAGGACGAGGCAGTTTCTTATTGTAAATTTTGATATTTGGAATCTTGTCATATGCATCCGGTTCTTGTAGCTACATGCATCTACTAAAAGGCAATTTGATTGATCCTCCTAATTCAAACATGTAGATAGGAAATAATGAAAAAAACCAGCTTTTGATCTGTGTTTTGGCATAGGTTTCAGGGCATTGTTTGGTGTTGCAATGAAGTATGAAAATCAGCTAGCAAATATTTGTGTTTTCTTACTAATGCAAGAGACTAATCAAAAAGAAAATGGGGTTGTTGGAAAATGATGATTTCTGTAGAAGAGATGGAGATTTCACAAAATTCACAGGCTCAAAGCCATCTGTTTTAACATCTGAGGCAACAGACATGTGAATATCATGTCAATTGCCTCAATATCTTCTTCTAATTTGGAAACTCATGTTTTCTTGAAAATGTTTGGATTTGATGTCAAGAGGCAGTGTTGAAGAGTTGTCAATTGCACCATTAAAAATATGCTGTTGTCAATCAATAGTAGGTGAGTGCAGCTTCAAGATCAGTCAAAAGAAGTAGAGATTAAGATAGCATAGTTGTCATGAATATCAGATTGACATGCGTTTTAGAAGAGTCACAAGCATTGGCAGATCCACAGATATTATCTGCAATCGAATCCCCTGTTATTATTGCAGGCATTTCTAAGGCTGATCATGATTTCAAAATTCTAGCTAATTGTCCCCTTGGTTACAGGCATGGTGTTCTTTTAGTCTTTACCAACTGAGGGAGTATTTGAATGTTCTTCTGTTGGCACGGGCACTGATAACTGTGCTAATCTTACAAGTTCCCTATGTGATTGCTGTTTGTTACCTGCCTACCAGTTGCCTTTGGTAATTCTCATCAACTTCAGCAGAGAAAATGCCTTGATGATAAATATCTGTTTGTGAGAAAATGTCTTTGTTTAGTTTGCACCACAGATTTTCCAGTATCCCAAAATCCAAAGGGATATCAAGCATTGACGTTTGCTAGCTTTAACATGTTGCCAGGCCAACAGATTCGTGATGACTAGATATGCAACGAGAATGCTTTTTTCAATGTTGAATTCGGGAAGGGAAACAAGATCATTCGTGTGTTTTTTAGCAGACACGACAAAATATTCGTTGCAAAAAATCAACTAATAATCAGTAATCCTTTTTAACTCACAACTTCTCAGGGTGATTCAAATCTGAATTACGAGGGAGTATAAAATCAGTAATGTCAAATAATTTTGATGGACAACAACAGAAAATCAAGAATCCCTCGTAAGTTCTACCATGTTGATCACCGTGTTTGTTAGGAGATCCATCATCTAACGCCCTGTTTTGAGCAGTAGAGTTAGAAAACGCATGCGTTTGATGCTAAGGCAGTAGAGGGTCGTCTTAATAAGATGTTGTCAATAAAAAAAACACACGAATAAGCTTCAGGATGAGTCCAAAGAAGTTCACATTGAGATGGTGGATTGTAATAGTGAAGAAACCACAGCACAAGAGAAAGAGGAGCTTTCGTCCCTGAGATGCGAGTTAGAAAAGAAACTGCCTGAGGTAGAAAAGGAATTACATGGAGGTAGAAGAGAACCGAACATTTGGCAGACTTTTCCATTGAAACTTGTAACTATCGGAGTTTCCAATATACTGTAATTGATCTGGACAAGTGCTGAATCTGAGCGCTTTACTGTTTGCTGCGTTTATTTTGGACGACACGATCAATATAATATCCTGAGTAGTCCTAGTTTTAAAATAAATTATGTAAAAATTGTTTTAATATTATTTATTTAATTTAATTTGAGGAGTTTAAAGATAAATCAAATAAAATAAAATAATAATAATAATAATAATAATAATTTATCTTTAAATAAATTTTTAAAATAATATATTTTTATTTGAATATTAAAATGGATCCACTTTAATTTTTTATCATAAACAAAAATCCATACCATTAACTTATTTAAGTTTGATAACTTTATATTTTAAATTATTTTTTATCACAATGTAATTCAGTTAACTTGAGAAATTTAAAAATTATTTAGCTAATTAATAAAAACTTGAATTAACTTTTAAAAAAATTCAAGATAATATTATTTTATAAAAATAATATTAATATAATAATATATTGGATTAACTTGAATTTTAATTGGCCAAGGAATCCATCAACTCTACTGAATTTGATAAATATATTTTCTAATTATTCTATTTGTAATAAACTTATGTGAAAATGGTACCTAAGACTTGATACGTGAAAATGATTTAGCTTTAGTTTGTTTTTTTTTTTATAACGATGATTCGATGGCATACGGTAGTTAGTTTAGATTCCTTTCTTTGGTAAAATGTGAGAAAGTGATATTACAGTCTAGGATAAAGATCAGATGGCTTTCTTCATTCCAGACAGAAAACAAAAATTCTGAAGGTAGTAGAGACTTGCTCCAAAGTGTTTAATTGTCTTTTCTTTTTTGGTTGTTTGCTTGCACTATGCTATTACCAGTTATGTCTTCAATATGACTGACTTTATGTTGGTATACAGGAAAGAGAAATGGCACTTAGATCATTCAAGAGTGGGAAGACGCCAATTCTAGTAGCGACAGATGTGGCAGCACGGGGTCTTGATATACCCCATGTGGCTCATGTGGTGAATTTTGATCTTCCAAATGACATTGATGATTATGTTCACAGGATAGGACGAACAGGACGAGCTGGAAAAACAGGGCTTGCTACTGCTTTCTTTAACGAAAATAATATGTCATTAGCAAGACCTTTAGCTGATCTAATGCAAGAAGCAAATCAAGTAGTACCTGCGTGGCTCACTCGTTATGCTTCACGGGTTTTGCATAGTGGTGGCAAGAATCGGCGCTCTGGAGGAGCCCGATTTGGTGGTCGTGATTTCAGAAGAGAGGGTTCTATTAACAAGGGTACAGAATATTATGGAGGGAACAGTAACGGTGGATATGGGGTTCCTGCTGGTTTTGGTGGGGGGTACAATCCATCCGTGGCTAGTGCTTGGGATTAGTATCATACCATTTTCTGGATTCAGATCTCTTCTTTTGTCATGCGTAAATAAAGTTCTTTTCACAATTCAAGGATTAAATCTTTTTATCCTCCAGTAGCCTTTAATTGTCTTTTATGCAGAAGTTGCTGTGGCGTTAATCCCTGGCCTTCTCAAAATGGTGAACCTCCTTGACTTGATCAGGTAAGACATTAGATATTTGAATGTTAAAAATTGAAGTACTTGGGCCATGATTATTTTTGCAGTTGAAAAACGATTTTGCATAAATGTTTTTTTTTTTTTTGCTTTAATTTTTTAGAGGCATGCCCAACTGTTTCATGCGTGTGATGAAATCTGCCCATGCATACGTACCTTCTTGTCAATAAAATCTGCCCAGAATCTGGACTGGGCTCTTTGGTAAGGATCAGAAGGCAGAAGAGGGGCCTTTCCCTTCCATACATCGTCAACATACTGAACAATAATAAGGGACTCACAAACTGGTCTTCCATTGTGGATGAGAGTTGGGATCCTCTTGTAGACTGGGTTCATCTTACGAAGCAATGCACTCTTGTCCCTCAAGTTCTGCTCACTGTACTCGTACTTGACTCCCTTCTCTGCCAATGCTATTCTCACTCTTATACCAAAAGGGCTTGCCCAAAAATCCAGCAGTGTCACCTCATCAGCCATTGTTGTTGTGAAATAGAGTAAAACTGAATCACATATAGTTTTTTCTCGCCTTTCAGAATGGCTGTGCTCTTGATAGTGGAGAGTAGAACTCTTTATAGCATATCTATCTTTACAGAAAGATGTGGGGTAGAAATAAATAGGTGAAAAATGTGCTGTGCTAGCATTGCCTAGTGGGGAATTAGATACCATATCGCTTTTTCATGTTTGGCCCTTTCTGGGTCTTCAACTACATCACACCAACCAGTCAATGATTCCTGAAAAACAGATAAGGAAATCTCAGAGTTAATTACCTGACCAAATGAGATAATTATTCATAAATTTGAGAAATTATATCCGGAATTCATATTATGCACGGTGAAGGGAGCCAGGAATTTTTTTTTGTTTTGGACTATTAAATAAATATATAATTTTTTTAAAAAAAGTTAATTATTAATATATGTGTAGTTAAGTTTTAATTCAAATACATTATTTAAAATATGAAAAAAATTTAACAATACATCAAATTAAAGTAAAAAATAAAAATAAACTCACTATTAAAGTTAAATCATTCAATATTTAATAGAATATAATTCATTTATAATCAAATCTGAATTAATGTTGTAATAACTCCTCAAATATGATAAAATAACAATCAATAAAGTAATTAATTTTTTTTTCTTTCTCAATCCTTCCTTCCTTCACTTGATTATTTCTTATATTAGTGTTTTATAAGTTAGACTTTGTAAGTTTACAAAGTTATTCTCTCATTTTTTTTTAATTTTTTTTTTATGTTTTTTCCTTACTTTTCTCTCTTGCCTTTATTTTTCTTTCTTTTTTTATTTAGCTTTTTCCATCAGCAACGTATAAAAGGAAAGAAAATATGATTTTTTTATTTTTTAATAGAAAATAATCATTTTATCTTTAATATGTTGTTTTGCTTTTATTTGATAATTTTTTTTATTAGCACTACCAAGCTCTTTTCATCCTAAAATTTTAACTAGATTTTATTCAATATGTTTTAAGATTTTTTTAAAAATTTCAGTTTAATCTGATGGTCAGATTGAAAATTACATATAATAACGTAAAATTAGTTAAATTATGATTTTTCATCAAATTTCTAAATTTTTTTAGAAATTCTGAAATTTTAGCTCAAGCTAAAATGTTATATTATAAGGCTCCACTCAAATTTTCAGAATTTTTTAATAACTTAATAAAAAATTATAAATTTTTTATATAAAAATAATAATAAAATTTTAAGCTAAACTAGAACTCATCAGGGAAAATAAAATATACGATAATGAGAGTATTTCTTAATTTTTATGTGATTTTTTAATTATTATTTAAAGTAATAATCTTGTCAACAAACTATCTTTAATTAGGATTGTATTTAATGTTTTTTTTAAATAATTAAGCCCTCGTATATGGATTTAATTATATTATTAATGTGGTTACCAGGTACATAAATGTAGTTGATGATTTGATAAAGAATATGCTTGCAAGGATTATGTCAATGTCACGGGAAGCTCGAATGTGGAAACCACCAAATCTGGGCTCGAAACTTAAAAAAAAAACTTGCAATCATTTTCTTATGAACATTAAATTATTGTCATTTTCCTAGAATTGACTATTCACGTCTCAACAACCCTATTCTTGTCTGACTTGAAATATTTTTATTTTTTTAGAGTATTTTCCAACTCCAGAACAAATTTAATAAAATTATAAATTAATAAAAATATTTTAAAAAATAAAATGGAGAGTTGTGGTAATATCTATAATTTGTGCGTTATAAATGTCATTTTTAGCACTCTTTG